AGAAATTTTGTGAAAAAATTGTCTTAAACTTGGAATCGAGAGAGCTCGTCTAATATCGTCATTACGAAAGTACCAGGGTGAATTCGTTAACATTCTGAGAGTTTTGTTCTCAAGCCTTTGAATAATTTCAAAATTTGTACGTGCGACAGAACCCCAAACTGGGCTTGCATAAGCTAATACTGGATGAAGATAAGAGAGATATATTAGAATTTTGAGATTAAGAGGTAAAGCTGAATTTCTATTGATTAAAGGGTAGAGAATTCTAAATTGAATATTGAATTTATTTCTAAGGTTGTAGATATGCGCTCTGTAGTTAAATTTACGATCAAGGATAATTCCTAAGTACTTAGTTTCTTTAGACCAGGTGATATAATTATTGTATATTTTAATATTAGGAGGGTTATAGGATTTTTTTCAAGTGAAAAGAACTGCTTCAGTCTTGTCCACATTTAATTTTATCTACCAGTTAATGAACCATTTTTCTAAATCAATGATATAATTTTGCAAATTTTCCTGGATGGTGCAAGTTTTTCGGCCTTGCGTTAAGATTGCAGTGTCATCAGCATAAAGACTAATTTTGATATTGTTCTTTTGTGGAATATCGTTGATAAAGATATTATAGAGGAAAGGAGCTAGAATAGAGCCCTGGGGCACACCAGCGTGAATATCACGAATTGAGGAATCAGTATTCCCTACTGCAACAACAAAGTGTCTGTCTGAAAGATAGTTACGAATTACTTGAATCAAATAAGGAGAGAAATTGTAAGAAATGAGTTTGTAAATCAATCCATTAACCCAGACTCTATCAAAAGCTTTGGCCACATCAAGAAAAATTGCAGCAATTTCATATTTCCAGGTAAATCCTTCAGCAACAGTTTCTGTGAGATTGTAGAGCTGATGAGTTGTAGAAAGTATTTCGGTAAATCCAAATTGCTGTGGGATGAGAAGGTTCTTTTGATTTGACTAATTTTTAAGAAGGTTCAGGATGAAATTTTCAATTAGTTTACTAATAGAAGAGAGTAAAGAAATTGGTCTGTAACTAATAGGAGAAGTAGGATCCTTTCCAGGTTTAAGAATTGGTAGAATTCTAGCTGTTTTCCAAGACTTAGGATAATAACCAGCATGAAGAATAGAATCAGTAATTTTACATATCTCAAGTATTATTTTGAAAGGAAGGTTTTTTAACATTTTATTAGTAATTTTATCTATGCCAGGAGTTTTGTTAATTTTCAGTGAGGAAATGCAATTAATAACGAAAGATGCTTTAGTGATAGGAATTTCAGAGACTTGACAAGTATTAATAAAATTAGTGATAGTGGACTCAACGAGATTTTCTGTATCATGATTATGAATGTTGTTTTCAAGAAACTGTTCCTGAAGGCTGTCAGCTAAAACCTCAGCTTTTTGACTGTCAGTGGTGGCCAGTGAATTGTTAGAGCCTAGGGTTCGAATGTGATTTCATTGCTTCGAACATTTATATTATCTCATTTTTACTTTTATGATTTAAAATGGCAGGGATATTTCATTATATTATTTAAAATCTGTTAAAGAATAGGCAACTGTAAAAATTATTAAAATTTTAAACATGATTATTAAATGCTGAATCAATAGGGAAAAGCAAAAAAATTCTGATTGTTGTTACAATATGAGAAGATAATTCTAGCTTCTTATTCAACTTAAGAAAAAGAGCTGGGAGAAAAACACGTAAATTTTCCATGTGAAGGAGAATTAAAATACTTATTGGTTAGAATAATCTGTAGTTATTCTTAACTTGACTTTTTTTGAAAATTAAATAAATGTTTCAATAACGTAAACTATATTATTCACTGAAAAATCGTTCAGAATAAAATTATTTTATTGGAGCGCTGCTGAATATCGAGGGGCAAATTATATTTAATCTTACAGATAATGAAATGTATGTCTTGTAATTTAAGCCACGTACAGACGAGAATACTAGACAAAAGAGTCGTTTTCGAGAACCAATTATAAGCCCGTTTGTCTCAGTATGGACAGAACCCTCGGACTGAATTATTTCAATCAACTGTCTAGTTCCGTTTCAAAGAGAATAGGTTTTACCCACTGATAAAAGGATTTCGAGCGAACGAGATGATGATAGCGAGAACGACTTGCTTGTTTTGTACTTTTGTTTGAACGAGGCTATAGATGTGCTATCTCATGATACATATCAGGTAATATCTTAAATTGCAAAATGATTTGCAATATTTGGTTATATAAAAGGTCCTAAAATAAAGAATTCCGGGAGAGTTTATCATGCAATAAAAAAGCGGATTATTATAAATTAATAGAATTGCCTTTTTTTCATCTAGATATTCAAACGTAATAAAATTTACTGCAACAATCAGACAGAATTCATAATGAAACGTCTTTCAGTTCTACGAAACGTTTCATTAAAAGGAAATATATTTAGAAGGTCTATTAAAATCTATAAAAAGCAGTCGCTTGAGAAAATTCAACACATCATATAGAAACAAAATATTTAATGAACTATATCAAGAAATAAGGATTACTTTATAATAAAACATGCTAGTGAAGCATTTTATCACATTTGCCGATTGATGTTTTTCGTATTCCATCAATTATTTTACAATTTTACTTTTTATGAAAGAAATGCTTTCATGGAAATATTTTAACACTTTCGCATTTCTTAATTAAAACATTAAGAATACAGTGGCCCAGACTTGTGTTACAAATCAAGTAAAACATGAAAATCTCTCAGCCTTCTCAATCACAACTAAACATTAAAAAAAACGGTTTGGTGAGTGAGCAAAGTTCCTTGGTTGCTTCGTAGCCACACGTTTCTGTCTTTGAGATGAATAATAAGGTGTTTTTTGTCGAAGACCATTGAGTTGTTATACCATTTTTTTAAAATTAATATTAAATTAAAATGAAGAATGAAAAAGAAAGCACTTAAAAATATTAAAAAGTTACTAGCAAAAACTTAACTCTTTTAAAAAAAAAAAGAGGATGAGAAAAAGAGAGATAAGGTGAACCGCTAACAGAGATACGTACTGGGAGTCTTTCCCGCCACTGAAGAAACGTCGGGGAATTTATTCCTCGGCGATGGATTCTACCGCTGTGGCTTGAGTCTTGCTACGTTAATCAATTCAAGCGAATCTGAGCTGCAATTTTTGGCTTTTAAATTTTAATTAATTGCTACGATGTGCACCTTAATCTAAACCAGGGGTCTCCAAACTACAACAAGGGATCAATTTTACTTGTACCAATTATTAAAAGAGATTTAAGATGCTCATTGGTTAACTTAGATCTATAAACATTCGTTGTGTACTTCATTTCGGAGAATGAAGCGAATTTAGCAAGTGTATGCTCGTTCAGAGAGCGTTCTCGGCGACTGGTCTAGAAATTATAGATAATGACAGAAAAATTAAAACGGTTTTGGCCCTTGGTACTTACTGGAATAAACAGTATGGCCCTAAGGCTGGAAAGTTTGGAGACCTCTGATCTAAACAATAGATATCTGGTCTTTAACTTTTTAATTGTTAATAGTTTTAATTTATTCTATAACTTGTTTTTACTTTATGTTGACTTTTAATTATTTTATTTATTTATTTATTTTTTTTTGGGCATCGTCAACGGACTCTTAATTGTACCTATAGCTTTAGCTTTTTCGGTCTCTTGCTTTAATTGTATTTCTCAAGCAAGAAATATTTTTCTTAAATTCTTTATTTTTCTTTTTTATTACTACTCTTCAATTTAAGCAACTGCATTTGGTGCAAATTTTTAACTACTTTAAGATGTGGAGGTTTTCGTGGTTTTTAAAATCACATAGGAACTCCGTAACAGGTACGCCCATTGCCCCGCTAACAAGTGAGGTTTGCATTAGTAATACTTTAAAAATAAAGATTAGTTGGGGCATTGATAAGAATATTAAAAACGGCTTATTAATTCCAACTTATGATATTTTCGATATATCATAAGTTGGGATTAATAAGATATATATCATAAGTTGGGAGGGATTTTAAGAGTGCATTGCCAGTGTGAAGTATAGAAATGTGGAAATTTTTAGAAATATAAAAAATAAATTGTAGGATATTTTGTTTGGTTTGGTTTGTCGCTCTACGGTCATCGTGTGCACACGAGGGCTATACAGACGGGGACCTACAGTTTAAATGGATTCCGAATCACTAGCAAACATCCATGCCACCGCCAGATGTAATATATTTGGAAGATTAAGTGAATGCCTAATGCTCTCATTTCTGAAGTACCAAGGTGAATCTTTTATCATTTGAAGAATTTTTTTTCAGTCTTTGAATGATTTACATATGAGATCTTAGTTGCAGTGCCCAAAACTGAGGTAGAGAGTTGAGAATGTGACGCAGTTAATACATATAAAGAAGTTTTCATTGTTAAATGAAAGTTTAGATTTTCCACAAATAAGTGAATAAAAGGTACAGAAAGTGATGTTAAAGGTTTTTCTTAGTTTATTAATATGAGGACTGTAGGTAAGGGGTTTGCCAAGTATTACTCCTAAGTATTTAACTTGAGAAGACCGGAAACAGTATTGTCGTAAATAGCTATGACAGGAGGAGTAATTTTATAATTTTGAGTGAAGAGTACAGCCCAAGTTTTATCAATATTCAAACGAATTTTCCATCTAATCAGCCGTTTCTGAAGAGACTTAATATAATTTTGCAGAATGCGAGTAATATAATTAGAATTTTTATTTTGTCACAGGAACGCAGCATCATGAGTAAAGAATAATTTTGACATCAGAAGCTTACAGTTTGTCATTGATAAAAAATATTGTACAGAAAAGTGCTGATGAGAGATTATTGCGGGACACCCACTTTGATATTTCTGACCGTTGAATCTACTGTCACTACGACTATCGTGTTTCTTTCTATCGGTGGTTCAGTTTTTCTGGTTAGCCGCAGCTTTCTGATGGTGCGAGAAGTATTGATCAATCCATTCAAACATTTATGGAATCTTCATTAATTTACAAACAATATTTACAAAGAGCCAACGGCCATACCATGCTGAATATACCGGTTCTCGTTCGATCACCGAAGTCAAGCATCATCATCGGGCGCGGTCAGTACTCGGGAGGATACTTTCTTCAGACGCACCAACACTGAAGTAGCAGACTTCCTACAACAACCACACGTTAACGATATCTGTCAGGTCAGCCCAGCGGAAGTCTGTGAATTTATTAGGAAGATTAAACCCAATAAGTCTCCTGGGATTGATCGCATTAGTAATCGCACGAATTGGTTTTTTTCACGAATGTTGAACTATCATCATTCGACACTGATACGGAGAATTTGTAACACATTCAAAGATACATCAGAATACTGCTTTTTTAATGGCTCAACAGCCCCAAAGTGGGCCAAGCCCTGCTGGAAAATTTCCGGACAGGATATGTTTTCGTTTTACGGGGTAGAGTCGTCAGCCCTATGCCCAACGCTCTACTGTCCTATTATACAGGAATCTACGGTTTAAACCATTTATGTTTATAATCTACGGTTCCGAACCCTTACAAACATAAATGGCATCACCGGGACTCGAATCCAAAGCGAAAGTAGCACTCGAAAGTGGCACCGAGAGCCGGAGCGCTAGACACTCGGCCATCAGGCCCCACATAAAAGTGCACAAAATACAATTATAGGGATGTACAGATAGCGGAAACCCTTTATGCAAGTTTTTCTTAGGGTAATTGTTTCACTTTTACGCGTTCAAAAATCAAATTAAAGAACGAATGTCCTAATACAGATAATCATATCAAGTCATCCTTTTTATAGTATTAGTTAAGCGTGCAGGAATCCAACCAGTGATCATTTTTTCACAATCAGCCATGATCGCATTTTCCTTAAAGCTCTAACTGATCAAGCCATAATAATATAATATTTATACTTGAAAAGTGCACAATGAAACGAAAACTTATGAAAAACTAGAAACGAAAACTTATTTTTATATATAGTTATTTCTTTGATATCATATATTACTTATTAAGTTAATTGTTAATTTATTACTTATTAAGTTAAAATATATATTATTGGCAATACACACTACGTTTATGAAGGCAGGTCTATATTAAAAATAAATTCATTTTAGGTATAACTTGTAAACGTGAAATAGCATCAATTGCATTAAAGAGGCAAATTCGTTCCAGGATAATTATAAATAATTTTAATTTGAAAAGAAAGAATTTACGTTAGACATTGAATATAATGTTTTGGTTCCATGTTCGGTGCCATATACAGTCCTTCATAAAACTATCTTTCAAAAGGTGGCACACCATTGGTTTGCTAGGAATGTTTTGTGTCATTTAGAAACCTATGATTGCCATCGTATCCCCTATAGAAATATCGCAATTGTCACGATGTCAAGTCAGCAATTTGTAACACACTTGCATTGATCATTCTCTATATTAAATTATTTTAATAATTTAATAAGTTTACTCATTGAATGTCGATAATGTTTAATTAATTAAAATATTTTTTGTAAGCTAAAATTAATAAAAACGTTTAACAACGTAAAACACTAAAAGGACTTCGTAGTCCTTAACTAGGTATGTGTCCATTATTCACAGAATAGGAAAGCAGCAATTATCATTATCTTTAAAACTGTTAGTTCTAAAAAACAACCCTAATCACCCATACTCACAGACATTCTGTCATTAATAAATGGAAGAATTCCCTTTATTCGTATATTAATTTCTATGAGTAATTTCTTCCTTTCTTCATTGGCGCAACAGCTCTAGGATGAGTCAAGGCCGTCTGCCTGCTGGCATATATTGAAACAGGAGGTTTTCTTTTTACAGGGTAGGATTGCCAGCCTTAGGCCCAATGCTCTACAGCAGGGGTCTCCAAACTACGGCCCGCGGGCCAAACGGCCCGCCAGTGTCATCAATCCGGCCCGCGACAGCGAATAGCCTATTGTTGCTGTAATAAGTTGGATAAAAAAACACATAATGATAATAACTCGGTTTTATTTACTTGCTAGGTAAAGTTTAATGACGAGCATAATATGCAGAAAATTTAACTTAAACATTACAAATAATTGAAATAAATCCCACTAACATTATAAGCTAGTGAACATCCAGCGGTTACCCTCGCTAATTATGTTGGGGTAAAGAGTACCGCATATGTATGTATGTCGATGTTTGCATATATCCTGAATCAAACATATGATTTTTATCCTGAAAATCCCTCAGGAACGGAAAAGCTAAATTAACGCGAATGAAACCGCGGGGAATCCACTTGTAAAAAATACTAATGAGACTTATGTAATTGTGATTTTTCACTGACAAAAATTTGTAGTTGCGGATCAATTTTACTTGTGGCAAATAATAAAAGAGATTGTAGTAATTGAACCAGCGAATTTGGCAAGCGTATGCTTGCTCAGAACGCGTACTTGGCGATTAGTTTAGAAATTATAGATAATGGCAGAAAAATTAAAGCGGTTTTGGCCCTTGGTACTTACTGGAGTAAACAGTATGGCCCTAAGTCTGGAAAGTGTGGAGACTCCTGCTCTACAGCGTTGGGCGGACTTACGGTTTAAGGTGGATTTCGAACCCTACAGACATCCATGGCACCTTCGGGACTCGAATTCAAAACCTGTGGTACCGAGCGCAAGAGCGCTAGTCACTAGGTCATAAGGCCCCCATGAGTAATTTACTGCCGAAAAATCAAATCAAAACACTAGAAGGGCACTGTTTGAGGAATCTGCAAATGATATTACTACTTGCGTCTGAAACATTAATTAAAGTTTCAGTATCACAAGCATTTGAGTGCTAGCACTGCGCTGAAGTAAATGTGTAGCAGGCAACCATCATGTCTGTAATTTACCATATTAAAGGGATACTGTTTTACAAAGTTATGTGGATATTTCATTAAGGTATACGGAATGGCAGGAGACAGACACAAGATTATGTGCAGTAAAATAATTTTAAGTAAGACAGAACAGTAGGGCTGCAAGAGTGAGGAATTTCCTTTCACCAAATCCCAGAAAGAATGGATCGAGATGTCACAATTGTATACAATTGTTAACAGCGATGGTTAAAGGGTGGCAATGATATAAGAATACAAGGATATGGTAAGGAAGATTTATCAATTTAAAAGTCTCCTTAGCCATCTGTTATTGGTGACTTGATGGAGTGCCTTGGTCACGCAGCGATCACACCTCCACTTGGCGAATGGTGAACAGTGACTGGTGGTCGAGCCCTTTGCCAATTGTAAGAAAAATTAAATAAATCAGAGAAGGAATAATAATTTCTAACATCAGAGAACAAAAACATTACAATTAAGACAGAAAGTCAAAGTTACAAAAGAAGAGTAAAAATACAAAGAGAATAAAAAAAAAAATCATCCCATAAGCAAAAATATTATAAAATTAAAGGAATAAGCACTGATGATAAATCCAATAACAAAATGCAATAAAAAGAAAAACATTAACGAGGCGACAGCGAAATCGAGAAATCTCCAGAAAGGAGGAAATTATTTGTTAATGTTAAGAGTATAGCGCGGTCTTTTGCGATTTCTGGGCAGAGTGACGTCATAGTCGTATATTTTTAAATCATTTAGAACAGGGTTAGTGGATCGGGAAACGGAGTCATAAAAGTTTTTTGCAAGTTTCTCGACGATTTATATGTTAGATTGTTGAGACTGTGTAACAAATGTGAGTTGCCTATCATGGTATAGTTATGAATCTTCTCTTGGACTATGACCTCCTCTCCGGATGTCTTGTTGTGTGATTTTCACTTACTCTTGAATACCTACAAGGTTGTCTTCAGTGACTTCGTGAAAGATCGGATTAGAATGCAGTTATGTTTACAGATGACAATCGCTTCTGTCTCGTTTAGCAGAATAATGGTTGAACGTTTGTAAGAAGCCACAATTAAAATTTTTGGCTGAGCATTTTTTGATGTCGACATAGCAGCAAAGCTCTAGGTTGTTATGGTTTGGGGAGGAATTTCCTACAACAGCAAGAACTCCCTCGTTAGTATTCTGACGATCTTGAATGTAGGGAGATGATCCAAACCATTGTAAATTAGAGAATTGTTAAGACTTGTTCTACCGTGACAATGCTAAGTCCTAAGTTATCCTAACATCCTGATGTGCGTTTACACATATCAATACGCTATCATGCTCAAATATACTACCGACTAAGTTAGTAGTGGGAGGCAGTTTCGTTCTCATACTATCCAGCAACTATTATTACTGATTTTTTTAAAACAGATGCAAAAAATATAAACATCCCACAGAATGACATTAAGCATATAATTTGATGCATGCCTGCATTCAACAACACGAGAATTGCGGTGATCGTTGAGAAGCAATTCTGCCAGGTTTTACATGTGGCTTCTTATGTATTCTTTCATCCAGGCTCTTGAAATTGTAATTTTTTAAAAATATTTCATCGCAATAAATATATTTCGTTATTTTAACCAATTCAATGTAATTCTGCCTTGGGGTTGGAATTTTATTTTCTGCCAGTTCATAAATAGCACAAGGTGATGAAGACACACACACACACACAAAGCTTCGCGTTATTAACAGTCAGAAGATCATTACTCCTGTTCTTTTACACATAAGTTTATCTACATATGGTAACAGAACTTCTTATGTATTCTTTCATCCAGGCTCTTGAAATTGTAATTTTTTAAGAATATTTCATCGCAATAAATATATTTCGTTATTTTAACCAATTCAATGTAATTCTGCCTTGGTGTTGGAATTTTATTTTCTGCCAGTTCATAAATAGCACAAGGTGATGAAGACACACACACACACACACAAAGCTTCGCGTTATTAACAGTCAGAAGATCATTACTCCCGTTCTTTTACACATAAGTTTATCTACATATGGTAACAGAACTTCTTATGTATTCTTTCATCCAGGCTCTTGAAATTGTAATTTTTTAAGAATATTTCATCGCAATAAATATATTTCGTTATTTTAACCAATTCAATGTAATTCTGCCTTGGTGTTGGAATTTTATTTTCTGTCAGTTCATAAATAGCACAAGGTGGTGAAGACACACACACACACACACAAAGCTTCGCGTTATTAACAGTCAGAAGATCATTACTCCTGTTCTTTTACACATA